GGGCCCCCCCGGGGGGGGGGGGGGGGGGGGGCAAATCAGGGTGAGTGCCCCAGGCCCCACAGACAGCGACATTAGCACATGCCAAGGGTGCCACCACTTCATGCAGCTGCCGCGCACCACTGGCTTCACACTTTGGCTGCTCCCCCAGCCCTGCACAGGCTGATATGCCCTAGGCCCCGCACATGCCTGGGGTCAGCTCTGCGCACACACACACACACACACACACACGTACATCCTTATGTATAGGTTCTATAACTGTAGTTTATTAATATCTTTGACATATAAGGTCTACTAACATGATCGAGAAATACATACACATTAAAAATAAAATTAAGCATAAAAATATACACTGTTCATATTTAAAAGCATTTTCTTTATTAAACTGAGAAGAGACCCAAATTCAACTACTATTACATGAGGTGATAGGTTGCTATCTTTATTTCTTTGACTTGCCTTCCTCTTGTGTTGAGAATAAATCATAAAGCCTCAGAAGCAACATGCTACAGCAGATTTTTCTGGCCATATGAACGGACTCAAGTGCAGGTAGATGTGATTTTTGGACCAGGAGTTAGTTTGGCATTGGACTAGTGACAACTTAAGTGAACATTAGAAATATGCATTTCATTCCAAAATTACTTGCCTCTGATAATTAGAAATACCTTTCTAATTCCCAATCTAAATTTATCCATAGTCAATCTGTAGAATTTGATCTTCTGTCAGTATGTTTTTCTTTTGAGCGATATCATTCTTATAACTAAAATCACTGAAAACACCAGAGTATTGTCTACTTAATGTTTAGACAGAAACAGGACATATACAGAATGCCTTAGTAGGTGGGTATCTGAGACTTAGGTGGTATCAGTTTAACAGCTAAGCCTTAAGGAGTTATTCAAATTGACCTGGCACCACAACACCCACACCCACAGTAGATACATACACACATGGATACATAAGAGTGTATATATAAAATATAATTACATAGTATATAATATAAATGCACACCCACACTGTAATATCATATTATACTACAATATGTAAACAAAAAGAGTAGTTAACTTGAACTTGAATTAGTTCCCTTTAAAAGATACAGCTATGAAAGAAGGTTTTAGTTTAATATTTTGTATATATAAACTTAAGACATTCTCAAGTAAGGCTGTCAATTAAAAGTAGTTTTCATTACTTTACATTTGGTAAATATATTATCAAGTTATTTTTACAAAATGGAATCTCAAATGCCATCTCTCCAGCAACAGACTATCTAACTCCTATTCTCAACAAGGTTCTAGGCCTTGCAATGGACCTAGATGCCAGATGTGCCCCATCATGAACACAGACCACATCATCACTGGATCAACTAAAATGAATTAATGAACTGTAACATCTGGGGTTCATTCACCTGCTTCTCTACCAATATCAAACTTGCCCTTGTTTACAGTGCCCCTCTGCTGTCCACATTGGACAGGACAATCCCTATGTAAAGGAATGAATAGACACTAATCTGACATTGAGTCCAGAAACACACTTGTCTGTGGCAGAACATTTTAACCTACCTGGACATTCCATTGTTGACCTTAGAGTAGATGTTCTTAAGCAACAACACTTTAAAATATAGTTGAATGTGAAATTCCAGAATAAGAAATCACTCACAGACTGGACTGAGTTAAGTATAGTTTAAGCCGAGACTGGAGATTCTTATTAGTTTACACTACTTTGATTAGTTCCTATGTTCCCTATGTCTTTACTGCTTTGTTTTTCTCTTCAACCCACCTTTGCCCCTCTCAGAAATACTCCCTCTCCTTTCCTTCCCCCTTATCTGTCCTTTGTATGTCTGGGACTTTCTATTTGAACACCTGCTTTCTGGAAGTCCTTCCATAGCATCTGACAACTGAGCTGTTGCTTATGAAACCTTATGCATCTCTGAATTAATCTATAAGATGCAACTCTACATTTCCTTTTGCCTGACTTCAGACTAATATGACTAACTGTTTTTCTTTATTCGTACACACTG